TAACGGTAACATAGTTTAAGATTTTCAAAATGGTTCATTGGTAGAGAAGTGGGTTCAATGTTCGCCGATATTGCGCGTTGCTTATATTTATTCGATTATAAAAATACGCATAAAAATAACCCGAGATCTTTTGTCGCTCAGATTAGCTGCAATTCGAATACCCCCTCTAATACTTTTACTCCCCCATTACTCTACTCTTACTTTTTAATTATATAAATATGTTTTCTGAAATCGGTTTTGTTCAACTTTATTATGTTCCTTTTTGTAATGCGTGTAGCTCATTTATAGAAATTGTTGATGCGAAGTGAGGCAGTATATCATACGTTACTAAGTGGGCGTAATTTAGGGCAATTACCCTAAACGGTAAGCTTAACTCATTTCATGTATAGTTCAATACATTCTTAGTCAAATATATATGTATTTCAATAAAGTGCAAACAACTTTTCGAATTGCCATATTGCAATGTGCTACGAGTTGCAAATAGGCCTTGCAATTACATGAAGTGAGGTCAAGAGGTCTCTGTGTATCATAGTAATAATAATTTAATTGGTTTTGATAACATTTTGCTTTTGTGTGGGACTCACTCTGCTTAAAGACTAAACAACATTAAATAGAATCTTCTCATTTTGCATAAATATTCTTGAATTGTTCTAATTGTTGCATATGATCGTATAAATTTGTTTAAAAACAAAACAGTTGAGGCATTAGGTAGATAGTTTCTTCGTGTGGGCATTGTCGTCTCATTGACTACAGCGTGCCTTTGAACATGTGAAACAAAATTACTAAACTTATGGTAATATTGCGCTGTATGAATTGTTCGTAAAGCCAGTTGCTGATGGTCCGGACTTGGGTTATGTTTACTTCATTCCCAGTTCCTTCAACTCAGTTTCATCATCTACAGAGTCCTCCTCATCGGAGCCGTGCACCGAGGGCGCGGGTGTGGTATGCCCTATATATATAACATATAACAAATTAATAAATTTCGTGTATTTATATGTATATCTAATGATTTATGATAAAATTATATTATAAAGTGGTTTAGATGCAATTCCTACTTTAAGCTTGCCAAACGCTCAATGATATTTGAAATTCACCTAAACCTTTCTATCGCACTATGGACGGCATAAAGTCTAAAAATAAAGCTCGGAGCCTAATGTTTTTTTCTTATTATATTACTTATATTTTAATTGAAATTCGGATTTTTATACTCATTCATGAAAGTGAATGTGCAAGGTTCGTCTTGCTGTCCGTCCGTCAGCCGTATGAACGCAGTTTATTTCGGCGTTATTGAAGCTAGAGACTTGAAATTTGGAACACATACTCGTGTATATCTCCTATTTATAAAGTGTTATGAGCTAGAAAACTGAAAATTGGAATGATCCGCGTTGACCACGAGCTATGGAGTATATATCTATCTCCAAGAGTTTTGACGCTTAAATTTTGCACGTAAGCTAATGTTATGATTCTACAAAGATTCATGCAAAAATTATATCTCTACGCCTACTATGGGCATGGCAAACCGGACCTGAATATGTAGTTCTGTATTTTGGACACTATTGATGCTAGAGACCTAAGATTTGGTATGTATACTCGGGCTGACCACCCAAGACCAAGAAGGTCTGACGGATATATGTCCGTCCACAGGGAGCGTGGCTAGCCGCAAAAGTTTATATATCCTCAAGTATAATAGCTAGAAGCTTAAAATTTGAATAGTTAAGTTACTTGAAACCTCCTCTATCGATGACCCAAAAACAATTTGTACGCCTATTTAAGGGAGTGACACGTAAGAAAATACTTTGTGATTTTCACATTTTTTGAGAGTAAGCTTCCAAATTTTGCAGATGAGGTGTCTACGCCCAGTAAAGGCGTGGTAAATCGGGAAAACCTGAATTTTCTACAGTATTAGAGATAAACTTAGCTACTTTTTTGCTGATGGGATGTGAATGCGTATTCTGCAGTCGGCAACGCCCGACTGAAGCGTTCTTGTTTGTTTGACTTGAAATTGTTTGACTTTATGCTACCTGTCATGGAAAGTCGCCCATAGTGCACTGTACAATCAAATCAATTTAAGCCCAAGCAAGTTTATTTTTAATCCATTTTAATTGATTTATTGGAACTTACGCGATGAGCTAGGACTTGGTGGCTCGCTGTGTGGACGCGAGAAAATCAAATTGTTGCGTGAGCCATATAAGGTGGTCTCGTCCACATAATCGGGATAAACAGCCTGCAAAGCCTTCACCCTAGCCTGTCTGTAATACTGCAGACAGAGAGACAAAAATACAGATATGAACAACTGTGTCGAGCAAAGGGATTATTTAAATACTTACAATACCCAGTGTACGCCAATCAAGCAAATCGCTGAGGCGCTCTGTGCGATTGCGCTGAATGATGCGCTGGCGACGATTTAATCGAGAGAACTCCATCATGAAATTCGTTAGCTGCTGCACGCTGTTCTCTAGGCCAATATAACGACGATCCACAATGTAGATGCCATAGGATTTGGGATCGCTAATGTGCTCCTGCATGAAGCAACCGAAACCAGATAGATTTGTGGTTACACTTGGTATGCCCATGACGGTACACTCGGCTGGCGTATAGCCCCATGGCTCGTAGTACGATGGGAAAACGCCCAAATGACAGCCGCGTACAAATTCCTCGTAATCGATGCCGAAAAGCGGATTTGTTGAAGTCAGGAACTCCGGATGGAAGACCATTTTGACGCGATCGTGAACGGAGTTGAATAACTGACAGCGCCGGATCGAAGACAGCACCGGATCGTTCCAATCATCGGCCACATTGTGCGTGGTCACTGGCGGCATTGAATCACGTTGCATAGCAAACATGCAACGCTTGATCTTCACCAGATCATCCTTTTGCAGCAGCTCATCGGGGCCGGGTATGTGACCCTTAAGGCATGTATCGAACATCCGCTTGCCCACCGCCTGCTGGACATTGTTGATGGTGTCACGCAGCTGCTTTATCACAGCATGGCCACGCAGCGAGTCGACATTAAAATTGTTCGTCTTGGTGGGAAAGATAAGGAAGGCCACCACTGTGGTGTCCGGTTTCTCGTGCTTCAACATCGCGTTGAGCCGAGCCAGCGACTCAATGAATATGTCAGCGCCCTTATTACCAAACTCATAACGGCCTGCAATGAAGAAGTACAGCGTCTTGTCCAAATCGAAGTCTATGTGGCTGGAGAACAGAAATCGCATTTAATGAAATTATTTAAATAGCCCATTTGATTTAATAAATTAATTTGAGTACTAGGATCACCGACAGAAAACTTTCTACTCACCCATAGAAATGACCGCGTACAAACTCATTGATCTTTTCCTTGGCAACGGCATGCAAATTCTGGAACTCATGAATGGCCGAGAACTTTTTCACGTTCAAGCCATTGGGCGTGATTATATCAGGTTTGCGCTTGAGCAGATGCTCGGCCTCATAGCCCGTGATCTCCGATACAGTAGTGAAGACATGGGCCAGGTGCGTGGCACCGCGCTCCAGGCAATACCGATGATAGATTTGACGCTTGCCTGCCTCCTCATCCACCGCAAACTTGTCCAGATTGTTGTAGAAATCGGTGTTGCCGGCGCATAAATATCGACCCAGAAGCGTGGCATGCGTGGTGAACACGGTGGCTATCTCAACGAGTCGTGTGCGCAACACAATCAAGCCTACACCGGCTTGCCACTCATGAAAGTGAGCAACGATGCGCGGTGCACTGAGCTCATTGTTTTGTGAGTAGGCGATTGCAAAGTTGCGGAACTCCTCCAGAAACTCGGCAATCATGAAGCCCAAAATGATGGCATCGTTCGTCTCAATATCTAAATGGGGCACGCCAATGTTGCACTTCTCCCACATCTCAAGCTTAAACTGATCCAGCTTCCAGGCGGCAGAGCCAATGTCAAACAGTATCAGTTGAGGATTTCCATCGACGAGCCAGCGACCGGTGTGAACTTTATAGCCTCTTGAGCGCAATGCGTTGACCGCATCCAAAAGCGGGTTGCCGCGGGGAAATTCCATTTCCTCCATTTCAGTGCGTGCACACTGCTCCTTATAGGGACCCATCATGCACAGCTGCTCGCCCATCTCCTCAGTAGACACATACGCCTTAGAGCGTATCACTGTATAAATGCCGCCCACTTTGTTGGCCACCTCCCATGCTACTTCAAAGTTCCAGCGATTCTCTCGCGATGCAATATCGCCGCGATCGAAGTAGTCCTTCAGGTCCGCGCCGGACTCCACTCGTGAAAATCGACGATTCATCTGCAGCAACGCCGAAAATTGAAAGAGACCGAATTTAGTATGCTATGGGAAATTGTATAAGAATGGTTGTATATGTTATGTGTGCTATTATTGTGTAACCCGCAAGGCCATAGGAGAAGCATCCTGATCTTCAAAACGATAGGACATCTGGCGTCGCATTGTCATATTGCACTGACAGCTCCCAGACAACCGTCAAGTCCAGGCAATCGAAGCGTACTGATAATTCCAACCAAATTTAGCTTCTGCTTGCCCCTGATTACAAAGCTGTAAAGCTGTAAACTGTAAGCCTTAGAATTGCACCGGCTGCTCGTGTTGCATC